TAAATTAAATTATAAAAATTTGAATTAAAAAATTACCCAAAAAATAAGGAATTTTAAATAGTTAATTTGATATTAATATCGATATATTTTTGTCAAATTTTTATGATATCTTTAAATATATATTTTATTCAAAAATAAAAAATCATCGCTTTTTTAAAATCATATAAAATCATATTATAACATCGACTGAAATAAAAAATAAAATAAAATATTAAAATCACAATGTATCCCATTGCATTAGACGAGTTCGCTGCTGGTAAATAAAAATAGATTATACAGCAACCGATATGACACACCCTTTCCCTCTTATCCCAATTGAAAACTAGGGTTTTAGACACACCGGAAGCAAAAGAGCACTCAAAACCCTGAAAATGGCGACTCGTGTTCTTCTGCGCTCTCTCATTTCCACCGCCAATCAAACCCTAATCACTCGCTTCTACACCACCACCTCCTCCCCCGTCCTCCGCATCCGTCCTCTTGTCGCTGCCGCCAACAATCTTCGCCATTGCTCACTTGTTGCTACCAGGAGCCGTGCTTTTTCGACTCGTCAGACCACATCTTCTCTAAATGATTCGAATCCTAACTGGTCTAATCGTCCACCTAAGGAGACTATCCTTCTTGATGGCTGCGATTTTGAACATTGGCTTGTTGTGGTGGAGAAACCCGAAGGTGAGCCTACTAGAGATGAGATCATTGATTCGTATATCAACACCTTAGCCAAGGTTGTCGGAAGGTACTGATTCAGAGTTTATCTATTTCTTCATCGAATTTCAATTTCATGTTACATCGAATACTTGTTTGTTGGTGTTTGTGGTATTCAATAAATTTTAATTGTGCATATGTGTTTGTATCTATTGGAAAATCTAATCATGGCTTTGTTATTCGGGTTCATCAGATGGCGATTATTCAATTTAATGTTAGATTATACGCATTGTTAGGATCGATGGTTAACGCCAATGTAAACCTAAAATTTGGAATATGTTTATTGTTCAATGGTATCCATTTGAGTATAAAGCTAGATTATATGCATTTTTATGACAGTATAGGACCATTCAAATTTCAAACTCCCAAAAGGATTAACTAAGATTTTAGATTCCATTAAGCTGTAGATTTTGTATATGGTGTGCATGCTAGTTTGGTTCTGCATATCTACATGTTGATTTCTGTGTGTATTTTACCCTAAACACCATAAGTTATGGTTGGTAATTTTGTACTAGACCAAACCAACCAACATGTGGACCATCGTACCAATTACAGTGGTTGGTAGTACCGTACCAATTATGCAAACATATACCGTGTACCACGGTACCAACTTATTTAATTATTTATTAGTTTTTGTATTTTTATGTATTAATGATAATCATTATAACTCTTAACTATTATGCTTGAACATTTGAATGTTTGCATTTTTAATTCGTTGCAATTAAAGACCCTTAAATGTCACATGTTTTACCTGAAAACTCAAAATTTGAACAAAATAACATGTTTTTGTATATTAACTTGAAGTTGGTACAAAACCAGTACCAACCGAAAAAAATTGGTACCGATTACAGTTAGTTGGTACATGGTATAAGATTTTGTGTACCAATTGTAATTGGTTGCTGCACGGTATTAGAGGAAAAAACTCGATACTGTACCAAGTCATAAGTGTTATAATGGGATATATTATAATTTGTGGTTTTTAGCTACGATGAAGCAAGGATGAAAATCTATTCAGTCTCGACTAGATGTTATTATGCTTTTGGAGCTCTTGTGTCTGAAGAAGACTCCTACAAGATAAAAGGTAATAGAATTTGCTGCGTTTTCTGTCACATCCTATGTGGTTTGTGTAATTGTGTTACAATCTCTTAACTTTTTCTTTTCCTTTTGGTCAGAGTTACCTGGTGTTCGGTGGGTGCTGCCTGATTCTTATTTGGATGTTAAGAACAAAGATTATGGAGGTATCACATTCTATTGACTGTTTCAATAGCTCATGTTATCATGTAGAAAGCCTAAATTTGTGAGGTTCTACCTGATTTTTGTACTAAATTATGGAACCTGAAATGCCCCCTCACATTGGTGTCCTTGGAGCGGGTGCCGTGTGGGGCCGGTTGGGGTTGCCGGTAATCAACTTTTGCCCAAATCTCACTCTTAGAATGTGTTTGATACACTGGACATGACGGAATAGAACATGGATGTGTGTTCCATGTTTGGCATGACTTTTATGTGAAACAGACTGCCACAGGCGTGTTTCATCCCCACCCTATGGAACAAAGTGGAAGAGACCTATATTTTACAAATATAACTCTTAACATAACCTTAAAATAAAACTTAATTCTCTTCTAAAACATCAAATACATCTCTCTTTACATTTTATTCGTTCTTTGAATTTTATTTATTGTATTTTATGCCCTTTAAACTTTCACTTTACAATGGTCAAAATATGGTTTTTATACAGTTTCTATATTTTGGTTATTTTATGTAATTTATTAGATATTACTAATAAAAATAAAAAATATAGAAAAAGTATAAAATAAAAATTGGAAACTACATAAACTTTTTATTTTGGTATCATTTTAATCGTCTTGATGAAAACTTTTTACTGACTATTTTTTTATAAAAAAATTATTTATTATAATTTAATAAATTACATAATTAATCAAAATATATAAACAACTCGTTAGGAGTAAATTGGTTATTTTATCTATTTTGTCATGTCAAATTTTGTCTTACCAAACACTTAAAAGCTGTTCTATTATTATGTCCAGTCTAGTTCTGTCTATCAAGTCTGGATACCAAACACTCCCTTATAGAACCTGATATGTGGTATGTCACCCAACGAAAATGACTTTCTTCTTAAACTTACAATTAGAGATTATATTGATAGGATGTCTCTTGTGATCTTTGTGGTACTGTGATCACTGGAGGAGACTTATTTCCCACCTGGAGGTGGGGTCTGGGAGGGGTAAGATGTACGCAGACCAACTTCTGCTCAAAAGAGTAGAATGACTGTTTTCGTGAAGACCACTGGCTTGTGAGAAGTGTGTGAAAGCAAGAAATGCATATATGCAAAAATATTAACAAAATGAAAGCTAATTGCACTTGCATAAATTCCATGTGACAGGGGAACCGTTTATTGATGGGAAGGCTGTTCCGTATGATCCAAAGTACCACGAGGAGTGGATCAGAAACAACGCCCGGGCAAATGAGAGGAATAGACGAAATGACAGGCCTCGGAACTTTGATAGGTCAAGAAACTTTGAGAGGAGAAGAGAAAACATGCAGAGTAACCGTCCATCGCCTGGTGGTGCCATGGGAGGACCTCCGAATAACATGGGTGGACCGCCTAATGCAGGTGGTGCACCATCTGGAAACATGGGTGGACCGCCTAACGCAGGTGGTGCACCATATGGAAACATGGGTGGACCGCCTAACGCAGGTGGTGCNTGGTGCACCATATGGAAACATGGGTGGACCGCCTAACGCAGGTGGTGCACCATCTGGAAACATGGGTGGACCGCCTAACGCAGGTGGTGCACCATCTGGCAACATGGGTGGAATGCAACAAGGTGGTGGTCACCCTAACTGGGGTGCTCCTCGTCCAAGCTACAATGCAGGCTCACCGAACATGGGTGGTGGGATGCCGCCATCAAACATGGGTGGTGGGATGCCGCCACCAAACATGGGAGGAGGGATGCCGCCACCAAACATGGGAGGAGGGATGCGGCCACCAAACGTGGGTGGTGGGATGCCGCCGCCACCACCACAAAACATGGGTAATGTTCCGAATTATCAGCAGCAGGCTACGTATGGACCAAATGGCGGAGGTATGGCTTATCAATCTGGACCAGGGCCAAATGGTTATGGTCAAAATGTAGGTGGTGGAAACCCTTACCAGAATCACGACATGCCTGGAAGAGATATGCCGACGACTCCACCAAACTATCGGTGATAATATAATAGAGATATCGGAGGCTAAATTTATTCTATGCTAATTAATGTAGCGCGGTTGATTCTTGTTTTCGCTCATAAGAGTTAGTTTTATCAAAGGTTATTCTTGTTTACTTGTATTTTCTTGTGATTACAATCATGTGTGCATGGCCTTTATACGATGCGTTATTTAGCTAAATGCCGGACCATTAAGTACGATGAATGGGGTGGAAAAAGCAATAAATCATAAACTATGGGGACGAAAACTGTGATTTTGAAAGTACAAGGATGAAAATAGCAATTTCAACAAACCACAGGGATGAAAAATGTAGTTTACTCTATTTTTTACTTTCATGTATGACATACTCGGATTCGAATTTGAATATGAAATCAGATGTTCGTACTCAAAATTAACAATCGGACAGATTGGATTGGAATCGACAAGCAAAAGTGGAGCTGTTTGACAGTTGCTGAATGGTTCGATGCAGAATGATTAAGTGATCAGAATAATTAAGAGATTCTCATGATATAGTGCAAAATGAAATATGATTGTTTGGTAATAATTTACAATGAAATTAGGGCGCTTAATGGTTAAGGGATGCGTAGGATACAAAATCATTTGAGTCTTAAAACCATTAAGAGACAAACTTTTTTTTTTTTGCCAAACAAGATTCACCCCTTAATGATTCAGAGTCTGCCTCTTAATGAAACTATTAAGAGGTAAATACACAACCCCTGAATAGTTTTGTCCGAATGGTACCCTTTTTTATATATTTGATTGGATCAAAATATACATTTTTGTCCACTCGATCACATTCTGTCTTATATCGTGCTAAAAGTGAGGCAACAAATTCATTCACATAGCATTGATACAGAAGACACCTGCCCATTTAGAAAATGAATAATTGTGCATAGTTCTCAAAAACATATCCATCAGCCTCAAATCACATATCATTCATAATGAATATTGCATACAAACAGTGGTCTTATACCACTTCAGTTCTAGTAAATCTATTTCTCTGGCTTCTGTGTAGTTAAAACATCTGATCCAATACGCGTCGTTTATAGTAAACAACCATTAAAAAACCGACCCGTTTTAGCGAATTTGACCGGATTGGTGATTAGGGGGCGTAGCTGTCAGAACTCCTGTGATCGAGACCCCTGCTTTCTTGTTCTTAACGTCACGAATTTGATCTGCAAGAGACTTGTCGTTTTTCCGAGTGTCTTCTCTCAAAAACTTGAGGTCAAGTCTTTCCCAAGCTCTGTGATCTCGACTACTAAGCTGATCGTTTACAGATTTTTTCCTGTGAATCTGAAAGCCACCAACAAATATGAACAAGAGTCTGTTAGCACTTAGCAGTTTAATGAGCTTAATGGGACTCAACTTATTCAATCAGCTATACATGACTATTTGGTAAGACTTAATAATATAGGAAATAGCTTATTCAGTAAACTTCTAGGGGGGAGCTTTATGCAGAAAACCAAGTTGTTTTTTCCAAACCTGTCCCTCCTAATTAAAAACATGCTCCTTTAATCTATGAAAAAACCCTCCCAAAAAAAAACCTTCACAGTCTATACAGACAAATTAATCCACGCAGACAACTTTATCAATACATGATTTAATGAAAAACCAATCAAACAACTACTTAGAGAGTGCCATAAAATGTGATTCCCCCATTGTCCTATGAAAATTGCAACATCTGACTGATGGTAGTAAAAATGTTTGAACACCAAGACATTGTCTTGAATATTCAACAAGAAAATCAATGAATCTTGTAGATGATGGTAACTGGCAAGTAAGTTTAGGAAAATCTTAGGAGCCATTTACCAAATATTTCCAGGGTAAGCGCTTACAGGACTTAATGGAAAACGCTCACTGGGTAAGAGTCTTCTCCGTCACTTACCAGGTTAAGATTCTCGGTCTTTGCTATGCTTCTTACCGGGTAAGATTCTGAGTGAGACCCGGTAAAAGCTTACCCGGTAAGAGTTTGGTAAACGGCCTCTTAGTAAGAGAACATGTTGTAACTATACGTGTCATCCCCAATAGAAATGTTGTACTTTCGGTGCGTTTGGTATGCGAACGGGACTGGACAGGTAAGAGTGAGGTAGGGTAGGCTGTAGGTTGGCAAAAGAATTCCGGAAGGTTTTAGGGTTTTAATTTGACATGGGTAGTTTATTAATTTAAAGATCTTGTCTCGTCTCCTTGAGTCCGAAATAAGCATTTTTGTCTCACTCGGGTATTGTCCCGGTCTAAGTCGCGTCAAACATGAGACAACAAATTTTTGTATTGTCCAGCGTAAGAAAATTTACCAACCAGTTTTCTTATAGGTGTGTGACAAACTTAATGAAATAAGTAATAGCCCCATGTTTGCAGCCTACGGCAGCATCTAATGAATATTTCTAAACCGCCATTGTGCAGTTAGGTTTATAGTTTGGGGGTAAAACCGTCCAAACTGGACCGGGAAACCCCTAGTTTTTCCCATAAAGTTTAAGTTAAATTGACCTATAGACTTGTTATGAGCTTTTTACCTTTGTTAATCTCTCCTTCAGTTTCAGATCTTCAGCCGCTGCCAACTCCTCTTTTTCTTCTTTCGATTTCTTTGATGGCTTCTTCTTTGCTAACCCTTTTACTTTTGCCATCCGTTTCTGTAAAGTAAGCTTCGCTTTCTCAGCTTTCGCTTTTGCTCGTCTCTCTGCTCGTATCTGTGCCATTTCCTTCGCTTTTGCCACGTCAGCAGAGCGCTGAAGGTGTTGAAGAGCAATCTCTCTTTCAATCTTTTCGTAACTGTCCCAATCTAGTTCTTGCTGGCCAATCCCGCCTTTCTTAGCAGCGTTTGCAATGCTTTCAGCCCATTGTGATATGAATTTTTCTCTTGATTTTTTCCACTTTAAACGCTCTCTCCATTGTCGTGTAATTGTCGTGCGGATTTTTGCCTTTGTTTGATCGCTGCATGAAGATGTATGTATATACATAATGCGTACAATACATTTTATATACTGCAAAATTCAATACCGAACTAGAAGACGATATCAGTGCCGGATAAGAAGATTTTAATGTCAAATAAATCTTATGATCACGAGGCAGTATTCTAAAGGGCATATTGTACCAAAATGAAGCCAACATTATTTTCATTCTTACTTTGGGAAACCAATTTTCAGAACTTCCATTTTGAGGGTCCAACCGACCAACTCGTAAAACTTCTCATTTAAGAGACCAACCAACCAACTTTCAAAACTTCTCATTTAAGGGACCTGCTGACTAATTCATATTCCCCAAATACATGAACGAAAGCAAATCCCCCCCAAATTGATAAGTTTTGAAAGTTGGCCCCTAGATCAGTGGCAGACCCAGGATTTTCTCTGAGCGGGTGCACCTTTAAGGTGGATCAAAGTTCCGCATAATCGTGGCTTAACCTAGGGAGAAAGTCAACGTGGTTTGACCTAAGAAAAAGTCAACGCGGATTGAGGAATAAAATACAATGTTTTCAGTTGAATGAACCATGATCCTTATTATAAATTGCCTTGATAATAAATATAAGATGAATTGACATTGAGAAGGAAAATAAATCATGGAAAAAAAAAATCAAAACGGGAGAAAAATTAACAAAAAGTTGCGTTGGCATAGTGGTGGTAATGCATATGATTGTACTTGAAGTTGTAAGTTCAATCCTTCTAACTATATTTTTGCTGCTAATAATATGTTTAGAAATAGCATTGTAGGGCCCGAGTAAATGCTCTGGGCAGGCGTGGAGCCTAATTAAAAGATAAAAAGGTAAACTTTCACCTAAAAATTTTGAACCCTTGGCCTCTTGTATATAAAGTGGTAATCCAACCATCCACTCGTATTTAAATTTTGTTATAGATTTGGTTCCTAAGTATTTAAGGGCACCCCTCAAAATCAAGCGGATGCACCTTTCAGACAACTACATTTTTCTCTCTTGCAATAATCGAGTGAGCGTGTGCATGGGAGCCCTCTCAGCTCCTAATAGGTCCGTCCCTTCCAGCTATATAGAGATGGAGAGAGTTGATCAACTTCTTAGAATCTAGCTCGCTAAACAATAACTTGTCCCGCCAACTCACATTGATATGCCCACTACAATCTCTATTGAAGGCTCCTCATCTCAACTTATAGAACGGACAAATGCACTCAACGACAACAAGAAGCCTTTTATCCCAAATTAGTCGAAATGGGTAGAAATGGAACCTGATAGAATATAGAAATACAAGGGAATCTCGATAATGCCCTACGGTTCTTGGACATTAGCATCCTTGCACAAACTCTTTTGAGGAACCAGCCTTTTTGTACTCCCTCCATAGAGGTCAAGGGTTCAAGTCTCACCCAAGAGAGTGTGTGTGTGAGAGAGAGTTTTACCATATATAAAGCATTATATAGGCAAAAGAAATAACTAATGATTTAGCACTTCAATTTGTGAGAGTTGTGGTTCTGCAACCTAATAATGAGAATTGAGAATCGTACCTAAGAGTGCGAGGGCATTCAGACATTTTCTTTCTTACCTGAAAAAAGTACAAGCGGTTGTAAGTGAAAGACGACTAGAATATAATAGAGTTTAAAAGTGACCTATGCTTATGCATTCACACAAGAAATATGTGCAATTTCTACATTCAGATGAGTAAAGCAAATCAGAAGAAAGCAATGCAAGTGTTTTAATTGTATTTCTTTTATGAAATATATAATGCACACGCACATGCACGAGTGCACAAGAATCGTGGATCAGGTTGAAACATGATAACTTTACACCGACAGCCCCTTACATGACTTCACACCTTGGGGTCTTTTAAAGCTTCTTTAGTTCTCTGACTGATCAACTCGCGAGTCTCTGTAAGAGAGCACCTTAAATCAATTGAAACTCGATGGATAGCAAAATATATTTACACATTGTCTGCTTACTCATCTCCGAATGAGCCCACCCACCCTTCACCCCTGCCCACCAGAAAAAGAGGGGATAAACAAACACACACCAAAATGGGATAAAAAAGTACCTGCGGTGTGTTTCTTTCCTTTGTTCCATGGAATTCTCCCCTTGTTTGCTAATCCAATTTTCTTCCTTCTTAAAATTTCGTTCTTATTCATATCTGATGTCGTTTCAGCAACAAAGTTATTTAAATTGCTCTCTTTAGCAGACGGTTCCCCTTCAAGATAACTGGAATTAAGTTCTTTAAATTCCCAGATGTTTGACTCCTCCTCTGAAGGAGTGCCCCAGTGCAAAGCTCTACGTAATTGAAGTCCTCTGGATGAGCTAACAAATACCAATCCGGAAGATACACCAGAATTCAGCTGCGTTGTTCTCAGGCAAAGTCGATAACATTCCACAAAACGATTAAAATATTGTGATTGACAGATGTTGGGAACCAGACTGTTGTTTGTGTAAATAGCCGATGAATTCCTGAAGAAATATATGATCATAAGCAGTAGAATAACCTTCTTTAATTGACTCTATAACTGTGTCCATTTTGAAGATGGAATAACAAATTTGGTAACCATGAGTGTCCAAGCCAGCTTAAGCACACCTCGACTAATCCCATGGGGCCTTGAAGATAAAAGTACGGAAAATCCCTAATGGCTCCAAGGAGACTTCAACTGGCAACCTATGGGCAGAGCCCAAGGCCTAGCCTTTGTTTGTAGGTTGAGCTGGATCTCAAGGTTAAAAAAGACGGAGCAAACTGATACCATATACTTAATTTATACCATAAAAATGCATCAATACTATTCGGGTATCAGACAATATGCTTAATTGATACCATAAATATGTTATGCTACCAAAATGAATGCTCAAAATCAAATGTTAGGCACCAGTTCCAGATTAATACAATCCAAATTTGAACATCAAGCATACAAGTTTTTGAAAGTGGTTAACTTGAATATATTTTGTTCTTGTGCAGCATCTAATAAGCCTCTTCTAGTGCTAAAAAGGGCCACAAATTTAGTATGCTAAGATATATATACACAAATAAAATCAATCGAAGCAAAGAGGCAAACAGGAACACAACCTTTTCTACTCCCTCCAATCACATTTCCATGGTTACAGAATCAATGTCAAACTAACCATTTGATACAAAACCAACCAAGAAATCTATAAACATAGTAGCAATGTAGCATACAATTGACAGATAACTAAAGCATACCCCCATAAACATACACACAGAGAATTCAAGAAATCATGTTTCGTATATAGTAATTGGGAAGGGGGATAAGCTTACAAAGGAGAGGGCAGCATCTCGGAGACAAATGGTCGAACAGTTGGTGGTCAAACATCGAAATGCAGGAACAAACGTGACTGTTTATGGTTTTACAGTCATACCCAATTGGCGATACGAGTTCATTGATTGATTGACATAGAAGAATCTGTTGGTAGCATATGAAGAACCAGTCGTTGGCGATATGACTGGATAGGGAGAAGAACCTGTGGTTTTTTTACTCGCAACTGCCCTCTAAAACCCTTGGGTCGATGACCGGACCCTAAGCGGACCATATTTTAAGCAATTTCTTGTTATAACACTTCAACCCCCAAATTTTGTTTTTTGTGCTAAATTTACCCCTAGACTTATACAATATGCAAAAGTCGCTATATTATCCCATGGGACTTAAAGGGTGTGCATCGGGCGGATTCGAGAGGACAACCAAAAAATCCGATTGGATTTCGGATATGGAAACCAAATCTTGAATTTTAGGTTTCGGATTTTGGATTGCTTCAGGTTGGTCGGGTTTCGAGTTGAGGTCGTTCGGGTATAGTTATAATGTTATATATATATATATATATATATATATGAGCTCATTCAAGGAAGAACTGACTAGTTTGTGGTAATCGTGAGATCCAATCTCAACCACAAATCAATAGATAAATAAGGAAAATTATAATTTTGGTAATTTTGAATTAAAATTTTAATGCAGGGACATTTTAGGTATTTTTTTCTCCTCTCTTCTCTCTCCGTCTTTCGTCCTCCATCCTTCAGCTCCGACCACCATCCTCGGCCTCTGGGCACCGTCCTCCGGTGATACCTAAAAATATTGACTCTGTTAAACAAAAGACACGGTGTGATACCCAATCACATATAAGATGCATTGTGTACCACTATGTTACATCTCCGATCGACTACACAAACGACCTCAGTGTGATACCCAAGCACATATAAGATGTCTTGTGATACCACTATGGTACCACCGGATGACGGAGGTCGGGGGACGGATAGAGAAGAGGGAGAGAGGAGAAAGGAAAGAAAATACTTAAAATTTTAATTCAAAATTACTAAAATTATAAATTTCCTAGTTTATCTATTGATTTGTGGTTAAGATTATAGCTCATGGTTACCACAAACTAATTAGTTCTCATCTGATTAGGCCCCTACATATACATATACATATACATATACATATACATATACATATACATATACATATACATATACATATACATATACATATACATATAGGAAGTTTCAAATACAAACCTTGCAATTTTTAGTACAAACTAAACAAATCAAATCAACTTTCCATCTAGCATAATGAATATCTTGTTTCATAAATATCTTGATTTTCTTTATTTTA